TATCTAGTTAATGAAGACTTAAGGGCTCAAGTTCAATTATTCATTATTCAATATAATATTAAGGTAAGCAGATAATATAATATTAAGTTAAGCAGACTAATAGCTTACATATTAGGTTAATAATTATTAATTTGTAGTTTGTTTCATTATTTCAATAACTGAATGTCATAATATTATTACGATATATAAATAAGGTGGTATTACTTTTAATAACATCTAGCATATAACATTTGTTATATATACTATATATAATAAAAGTTATATGCTAGATATGTTATATGGCATATAATATGCTAGATAAGCTATATGCTAGATATTACATAATATATCTGAAATGTTATTTACACGTTTTTATATATATATATATAAATATAAATATAAATATATATATATATATATATATATATATATATATATATATATATATATATATATATATATATATAAAATAGCATTGATAATTTTTTTTTTATAATATTGTTATAAACAAGTTTTATTTATTTCAGAAGTATTATGAGACATCGAAAAGCAACAGCACTAAAAGGTGATTGGGATCCCAGTAATATGATCCAAGCAGTTGAAAATGTTTTAATTAAAACTCTATCTGAAAGAAAAGCTGTTGAGAGGTTTGGAGTCAAACGTTCAACTCTTAAGAGGCGAATAAAAGAAGCTCGACTATCTCAAAATGGATTGAATAAATTGCAATGTGTTCCATATAGTAACAGTTCTATGAAAATTTTTTCAGTAACAGAAGAACAAGAGCTGGTTCAATATTGTTTATATGGGATATGGGTTAAGTCCTATTAAGCTAAGAGCACTAACATTTGAATATGCTCTCAAACATGAGAAGAAGTGTCAACATTCTTGTTGAGGTTCTGCTAAACCTTGGGAAACAAATAAACATGCAGGTATAGATTGGTTTAGAGCTTTTTTAAGTCGTCATCCAGAACTTGTTATAAGAAAACCAGAGGCAACATCAATTGGTCGAATGTCAGCATTCGACAAGTATAATGTAAATCTATTTTATAATAATCTGCAAAGTCTTTTGATTAAATACAAGTTTTCACCAAATGGTATATGGAATGTTGATGAGACTGATGTTACTACTGTACAAGTGCCAGAGCATGTTTTAGCCAAGAGAGGAGAGAGGCAAGTTGCTTCTGTTACAAGTGCAGAACGAGGTATCTTGGTAACAATGTGCAATCCAGTAAATATTTCCAGTCTACATATTTCAACGTGTTCATTTTAAAGATTTTTTTTTGCAAAATTCAATTCCTGGTTCTGTTGGCACTGCCAACAAATCTGGGTGGATGGTGGAATCAACCTTTATGGAGTGGTTTAATCATTTTATAAAAAGTGTTCGACCATCGAAGGCAAACCCTGTGCTGTTGATACTAGATAATCATGAGTCTCATATGTCAATTAACTTCATTGACTTAGC